ATAGTCTAACTAAATCAGTCAGTTCCATAGTATGCGCAGGCATGTACAAACTAAGGCCCAGGGGCCGGATGTGGCCCGTTCATCTTTTTAATCCGGCCCACCAAACCTTTCCAAATGATATAATTTGTTTATATTATCATTAGACTTCTGCCTTTTCCCTGCAATACCCACGTTTCCCAATAAATGGCATCGGAAATTATAAGAGCATTTTAGGATTTTAACCATTATGCATGAATTTTACATGTCATCATGAGTAAGGATTTGTAATTCTGTGTCCTCCTCCTTTCCTTCTTTTTTATTTTTTTTTTAAAAAACTTAAGGTGATATGTACAACCAGGAAGGAGATGGTACTGAGCCAGAGTGGGTGAAGACGGAGAGAGAGCAGTTCACTGAATTCAGAGACAAAAACAAAGATGGCAAGATGGACAAGGAGGAGACCAGAGACTGGATCCTGCCAGATGACTATGACCATGCTGAGGCAGAGGCCAAACATCTAGTCTACGAGTCTGACACAGACAAAGTATGTACAGCAACACCTTCATACTATTTCACATTTTCAGTTGAATGCTTGCTCCAAGCCATATCATTAAAAAATAGAGTATAAATTTAAATTTATAAATTTATTTAAACACAATTTATTTTTAAAAAGCCAAAGAGTCTCTTTGACCTTTTTTTTTATTGATGGCTCTTTGGGATTTTTTTTTTTCTACACACCAATATAAAAACATCAGGTGTTTCTACATGCTAAAAATGGAAATGCCAACAGTAGATTTATCATTTGTAATTTGCTAACAGCTAGTCAATAAATTGCAAGGATTTTTGGGGGGAATATTTTGGTTGTGATATCACTCTTTTACTGACAGGATGGCCGCTTAACCAAAGCAGAAATCATCGACAAGTACGACCTGTTCGTGGGCAGCCAGGCGACCGACTTTGGAGAGGCCCTGACTCGACACGACGAGTTCTAGTGTCCTTCAGCTCCAAAGACTGTGTTCATCTTGCAATTGTCAACCTTGTCCACTGACTGTTGTCAGTGCATTTCAAGATGAGCTCTTCTGATCCAACGCCACGGGCAGTAATTTATTTGAGTTCTGGGATTAACCACAATTCCCATTATACTCAGTATTCTTTTCAGAGATTTTTTTTTTTTTTTTTTTTTTTTTTTTTACATGTTGGAGCAGTTTGTCCTCACGTTTGGATTTTGGGATGCTTTGCTAGGCCTTGCTTTGCTTCCAGTTGTCGTTTATGAACATGCAAAGCAAAGAAAAAAAACGGTGTGACATAACAACCTGAGTAATTTGTTTTTTTTTTTTTCGTTTTACCAGAGTAGGTTTTTATTACAAAACCATTGACAGAACAAAACTGTACTATAGAGTGTAAAAAGTTAACTTTTGTTCTTTTCGTCTTTGTCGTGATGCAGTCGGGCCCTTGAAAATAGAACAACCTAGCTTTTGATTTGTTTGAGTTTTCTGTCTTTTTTTTTTTTTTTTTTCAATTATTGTCTAGCTTGTCGTTACCAGGACAAAGCACCATGTCCAATTGAACGTGACGACAGTACCACAGCACTTTACCTAGGTTGTGGCCTCCTCAAAAAAATGTGCCTGGACTTTGAAGTCCAGCACTTACAGGCAGTCAGGACAATGTGCATTGAGTCTTTTTTACAAGTTCCATATGGTCACAGCTTTGCTGCAAGGACTATTAGAGTCTGTAAACAGTTCTGGTTCTTGGTTTAGTTACGGGAACTGGTTTTACTTCATCACTGTGAAAGGAATTTGAACGAGTTCAAATGTGATCATGGACTCTATTCACGAAAAGTACAATTTTGCCAAACAAGTTTTAGTTTTTCGGAAACCTAAAGTTCACAAAGTGGCCGTAGTCAGAATCTTATTAAACTGTACATGCTGCCCAGTAGAGTAGATCATTTATTAGGTGTACTTTAATCTAAATGGGAACTTAATAAAAGACTTCAAATTTAAAAAACATTACTGACATCATGGGACCACATGACAGATTACCTCGTCTTTTCATACACTTTTATTTTGGCAACCCATGGAGTCAGTTGAACATCTGAGTTCCCTTTTAAACCCAAAGGCAATATTTCTATCTGGCAGTGTGATCCATGGACCATAATTAAAGCTGCTGGCTGTCTTCTATTTTGTATGCATGAGAGTTTGTTTGTACAAACTTACCCCATTTAATAACTCTAATTTTGATTCATTCGAGGTTTGGATTTTTGAATGATTCCCCTCTCCCTTAAACCCATTTCTAGTTTAAAAAAAAAAAAGCTTTGTGGAGAACATTTTTTTTTATTTTGTATTGATCATACTGTCACTCCCACTTAGCTACATGAATAACCACTGTTGATACTTTTTTATATTACACTATATATGACATATGTTTTTACAGTCATCGAAGCAACAGACCTTCCATTGACTTGAGTGACATTTTTGTAAGGTGTATCGTCTGTAAACCAAGCCCTCCCATAGGCCCATTTTCTGTAATTGAAAAGAATGCCTTATTAAAACAAATACAATTGGAATTTTGTGTTTATTTCCTAAGCTGTTAGCATTTTCTAAAAAAAAATATTCTGATATCTCAGGTAGGAAAACGTGACCTTAAAAACAGCTACACAATTAATTCAGGTTAAGTCAATTTTATTTGTATAGCACAAATGTCCAAAACACAAATTAAATTTTAAATTAAAAATATGCCCCTTAAAAAATGGAGCAACTTACATACAGTCAATGTTGTATTGTGTTTAAATTCAAAGTATCACAAAAAATATTCTAGTTTCCATTTTTTTTAATGGCCATCTACTGCCTTCTAGTGAACAAATATTTCTTGTCACTGTGCCATAGACCAGACAGATCAGATCAGCCGTTAATGCGACCAGTAATACCACCCCCATCATTGAAGGATCATTAACTTTTCTAAATAACATTTTTTTTAAAACTTTATTCTGTTAATATCAGAGTCTGAATGACCAATCGATTTGAAACACTGTCCGATTATCTTTAATGAAAAAATAAGGATAAGGATATGACTGGGTTCTTTCTGAATTAAGAGAATTAGTAAAACTGAAAGTACATGTTTTCACTGTGTCCGACTGCGGCCCCCTGGTACCAAATGCCCTACGGACCAACACGGGTCCCCTGACCGGGAGTTGATTCTCAAAGGAGAATCTTTGCACTTTGATTTTCTGTTAAGAATGCACTTTTCTGTTGATTAAATGTTTCCTGAGTCTTGAATTCACCAAAGGAAATGAGTCCAAATTCCAAGTGGAAGATTGGGAGTTACTCAAAAGGTTTCTTTTAAGTATCTCAGGAGTCCGAAGACAATACGAATTCCTCTGTACGACATAACGTGTCCCTTGCAATACATATATTCCAGGATATTTTTAGTAGGACATGATGACATGAAAACGTAAAAAAGTGTGAAGACCATCTCTTGTCAAATGTCACAGCATTGTTTTTCTTCAGTTGAGAGTTTGACACATTTTGGTTTCTGACGTGGCATATGTGATCGGAAAAGTAGATGCGACACATTCTGTTTAATTTACCGTTTAAGAGAGAAGTCACCTTGTTTCTGTGATGTTTGACGCGTCTATGATCCTTCATCCTCGGAGATGATGTTCTTTGTGACATCTTGCGTAGAAAAATCTTGACATGGCTCATTCTCACTGCTACTGCCACTGCCAACTGCTGAGTTTCCCAAAAGGGGACTATCAATTCCTTCTTCTGCTACGCCATGTTGGTCTTTGTCGTCTTGCCTTGACGTATTGGTCATGTCGCCGTCGTCGATACCTTAAGATGACACATGTAAAAAAAACCAAAACACAAACAGTTAGTTATTTATCATGTTGCAAATAAAATATAGTTTTATTATAGTTTTTATGAACGGTGAAGTCACTGCAAGAGTTGATTTAAAGGCTGCATAGCCTTGAAAAAACTGTGCTGACCTGTGCTGGCGTCTCCCACTTTTTTTTCTGTGAGGAAAATTCGTTGCATCATTAGCTTCTTTGCAGTGTGGCACACATACTTGAGCTGTGGAACACTATCCGCATGTCCTGCAAAGATAAAATTCAAAATTAAGAAAAGAAAAAAAAACATGCAAAAAGATTGACTTATGATATTAAAACTTACCTTTCGGTGGTTTCTCATCAAACAGCACACAAGTACCTAAAGCTTCTACGAGGGGGACGGAGGGATAACACGTGTAAAAAAAAAAAAGGTCAACTGTTTTCCTTATTTTTTCATTTGACTGATTTATTAGTGTGGGGTATGCAGTCATTCTTCATCATCAGATTCATTGACTATGTTTCAAGTCAGACAATTTAAACTTTTAAGACACAATGACACTCCCTTTTAAAGTTAGTAATTGCAATACTATTTTTACTATTTTTAATATTAGCCCATATCTGCTTATACTTGTTACTTACCCTCATATTCTCCTGCAAACACATAAGGTCCAACCTGCATCATGGGTCTGTCACTGTCAATATCCTTGAACACATGAATGGACAAACAATAAAAAAAAAGCTGTATAAAATTAATAGTGATTTAAAGGACAATCTTGAGAACGGAGGTAAGGCCTCTATCTTACCAGTATCTTGCAGGTGCCTCCACATTTGGACAGAAAATCGTTGTTGATTATACCTGAGAGCTCCACCACAACCAGCTGTTCCTGTTCAACACCATCACAAGTGTGAAAGCGACCATATAAAGATAATTATCGGACAAAAATGTAGTGTGAAAGCGACATTATAAAGATAATTATCGGACAAAAATGTCAAATAAGACACATTTACAGTACTTCTATTACAAATGGGCATTGATCTGAGTAGCACGGCTACGTAACATTTTTTTTTACATGTTCCAACGAGGCAACTGTTTCAATGAAAATTGACTTTACATGTGCTTCATTTGAAGCAAGGGGTTAATAAAACGACATCTATGGAATTTCACGTTAATCACGTGTGCCAATATTATTTTAAACTGGCAAACACTAAAGTTTTTAGCGATAATTAACAATTCGTTCACATGAACTATCACTATAACGAGCTCATTTAATGTTTAATTAATTTACCGCTTTTTTTTTTCTTTTTAAATATATTACCTCCTCTTCATATTCACTGTCCATGTTCAATCTTTGACTGAAAATAACTACAACCGGTAAATAAAAAAAATTAAACGCATAACAACAAACACACTGTCGCGGTGCATTCTCCGTAACTTCCGGGAAACTACGGCGTCCGAGAGGAGACATTCTTCGTTATAAGGAGCCTTGCTTATACGAGCAGGTCAGTAGAGGGCGATCCTGCTTAGGTGTAGACCCAGAGAGCAGCCTCTCGTTTTTCTACCACTACTGTATTTAGTCATATCGTCTCTGAAACATTTCATGCCTTTTCATGCAACTAGAAATATGGTAAGATGTGACGAGATGACATTATTATTCCGTCAGGGAATTTTTAATGGCAAAAAACAACAACAAACAACCCCAACAACAACAAAAAAACAACCAACTACGAGAAATTCGGCATATTTGTATTCACCTATATATATACCTACACCTATATATATATATTACATATATAGAGATTTATTACATATATATTACAACATATATATATATATATATTTCGGTTTCCTGTCACTATCCACACACACGCAGTTGTGGGAATTAGAGTAGCCTGACACTTTATATTGACTGGAATTTGTGTAGTGGGTGTGCATATTTTTATCCTTTTATAAGGTCGTGTGCTGGGTAGGAAATCGAGGCGATGCCAAAATAATTTCCTGGTAAAAGAGATTTTCGAGTAAATGAGAGACAAGTGCATTTTAAGGTCCTATGATGATGATTGTTGTTGTTTTTGTTTTGTTTTTCTTCAGAAAATGTGTTCTTTTGCCATTTGTCATCGGTCCCATTTATCAATGCTAAACAGAAATAACTAATAAATTGCATCACATTCAGATATCTTGGAAACCTCTAATTTATCATCTGCTGTTTTCCACAAGTACCCTCCTATCTATTTTTAATAAAGCATTAAAAATCATCATCTGCTGTTTTCCACAAGTACTCTCCTATCTATTTTTAATAAAGCATTAAAAAAAATGTAAACAAGGTTTCAATTGTCCATCTGTGTGTGTGTGTGTGAACAGAATAAAGCATTTAGATAATCCAATTTTTTTATTTGTTATTACTAAGCCTTTTTCAAGATTTGTGGTAGCCTTAGACAAATAGAAAAGTAACCGGGATTAAGCGCAAGAATAATCTGTTTCAATTGTTTAATTTTTTAAAAAAATATAGCTTAATTTCTTAAACATTTTTATACATTTTATCTTTATAGTAACTACCTATATTTAGTATTGCTTATTATTGAACTTATTAGTATAACAATTATTATTTTTACATAAAATATATAACACAAAGAGATGCCCATCAGGTCGTGACAGTAGAGGCCTTTGATTTACCTGAAGTTTTTGGCCCATCATCTTTCTCTGGACCATGGCGGGGTTGTCATGTCGACCAGCCTACAAGTTACTATGACAACGGCTCAAGGGGGGAGCACTGGCGAGGGAGGTTACTGTCTTCTTTGGAATGGAGGACGAAGGCAGTAAATCTGAGTGTAGACAAGGATAAAGGGCCTCATAGACACCTCAGAGACTTCCTTAGGATAGAGGTTATGCTGGAGTGTGATCGCCCCCAAATAAGGGTTTGTTTGTGAGGTCAGTTCACTGTCACAATCGTGACAAAGTGGATGCAGTGTTAAAGTCAGAGTCTCTTGATTTAAGTTCCTTGGAGCACAATAACAAAGTCCACCTTCTGGACAGGGGTCTACGCTAAGCCCCTTCAGTTCATAACCTATTCAGGAGCAGAGAGGGGTGGAGTTATGGTAATGTGTGAAATTATGCATCCCACTGGGTTGTCAGATGGGTCCCCCAGCCTTCCCCCAACATTTTGTCGTTCAAATATTATAAAGTAACATTTTAAAGTTGAATAGCCTTCGGCTCACTTGCGAACCGGTGACACTGGAGTGCTCAATTTCCACAATTAGCCATGACAGGGTACAGTTGATTGTTTGAAACGGTTTATAACCTGGACATTTATGGCAACACGGCCGAGTCTTTGCATTTGCGCAATCTGAGCATCACACACACACACACACGCACACGTTCGTACATTCTCTTGACTGTTGTAGATTCAATTATAAATTCAAATGATTTAACTGCGGTTTATCTTCAATGGTAGACTTGTGTTTATTTATGAATATCTGGGTCATGTTTAACATGTTTGGTCTGACATTTTAGAAGAGCCAGCCATTTAATACAGTTAAAACCACAACCACAGGTATGCACCCGAGGCCACTGAAACCAAACAGTGTTTTACACCGAGTAAACAGATGTGAGTATGTGTAAAAATAAAAGACTAATCACTTTCTCTTGAACCTTCATGAGGGGTCTCCACAGTGGTAGTTTTATGCTCCAAGCTTTCCTGACGTAACACTCCCCATTGTTGGGGGGTTGACGCAGTAATAATTGAATATGTTTGGCATTGTTGTATCATAGCAGAAATAGGTTCTATTATTTGTCCACTGTTTTTTTTTTTTTTTGATTTTTTGCTTTAGCTTTCATCTGTGTCTAGGAATATTTCATCATTCATTCACTTTATATTAACACATTCAACATCATACATGACTGTGTGTATGTGTGTGTGTGTGTTTTTATATATTTATAATATATATACATTCATTGTATATATATATATATACACACACACATATATATACATACAATTTAATACTGTATATATAGCTCATTTTCAACGGCACACAAATGACCACAGTGATTAGTAAATTTATATTTGATTTTAAATGAATAAAAACAGCACAAAACACGCTATAATGAAACAGCCACAGCAGACAAAACGACACAAACTAAAGCAAAAATGTCGGTGAAATGAAACAAGTGCGACATTTCCATTAACCCCCTTGAAGTTATATACGCAGAAGAGCTGCAAACGTACATTATGATATACGTTCAAATGAGATTGACAATTAATTCTAGAGATTTGTGTGTATATATCCCGCTTAAAGATCCAAGGACAATAACATTACTTTATTGTTTTTTCTTACAATATCCTACAGGTGATTTGGTATTAAATCAAACGTTAGTGTTGACCTTAGCAAAACCGAAACCTCTTAAATGAGAGGGTAAATGTTTAAAACAATCTCACACTGCACATTGCAGCTCCTTCCGCACTTGAGCCTGACCTGACATCGTCTTTTGCTCCTCACTATTCTTCTTGACTGCATCCAGTACAAAAGAAGCACCTGGTTGTTTCTAAACTTCTTAACATGACGATGTACTGGCTATTTTAGCGCCACACACACACACACACACGGAGAGAGAGAGAGAGAGAGAGAGCAATAGTAATACAATACAATAGTACAATAGTATTAACATAACGACGAGAGCGAGCTGTCAGAATAAGAGATGTTCAGTGTGATACGTCAACGTCCTGCCTATATATATATATATATATATATATAACTTTAAAATGAATAAATCAATATACAAACAAATAAATAGAACTCGTAAAACAACACTTCCGCCCTACGGCGAGGTTATGAGGTTATCTTCAACGGTGAATAAAATAGTACATTTTACAAGAAACTGTGATTTCCCTTTTTTTCAATTTCTGATGTTATATTAATAAATGTACTTATTTTATAACATTTGGTGTGCAGTTGGACTTAAATCTTGTTGATTAACTTGTTACAATGAGGACGATGCGCCAAAATTGACGATATTTTACAGTTTATTTTACAACAACACAAAAGCACAGCTTTTTGGTCTGTCGTGTACTAAAAACCAGAAACATGAATATTAAAAAATATATATTTCATTATTATCATCCTTTTGGGGTCTCGCAGAGTGTTGCCTCATATGTGAATCTGTATACGGCGCTTTCTGTTTCTATTTCGAGTGATATTTAGCGACCTTTTAATGAACACTACGTTTTATGTATATGTTTTTTTTATATTTTTTTTATGTATTTGTATTATTTATGTCATTTTAAATAAACCAAATACATTTTTTTGGAAAAAATAATAATGTGTAAAGAACACATACAAAGAAATGATGTGGAAAAAATATATGGACATATGTGTTTTTACAGAATTTATTTTTGATAAAACATTCATTTTAATTTCTCTTTCTATTCTCCTCTGTGTGACACCCCCTCCTTCCTCCTCTTCGCGGAATCCTTTTTACCCAAACTGGCTAATTAGCGGCGTCTGCGCAATTACGCACATGCGCACTGGTTACAGTCTCAGCCATTTTTGAAAGGAAAAACTAATTAGCTGGAATAAAGAGCCAAGTGTTTTTGCCCCCGCACTGATCAAACTCATTCTACCTCTGGAGCTCGCACATACCCCTCGGTCCCTTACCCCCTCTTCTGTTTACTACAGCCTATATGTAGCTTTAATTACACTGTTAGTAACAACTTGGATAGCGCTGCTCTCTCTCTTCACCTCTCCTTTCCCTTTCCTCTCTACCCGGTGGCTCCGTTAAAAAATCGCAGAGGATCATTCATAAGGAATGAGAGTGTTCTTTCTACGACTCCTTTTCAGGACTGCTACGCACTCAGCAGACGGAGCTTTGTTCCGGACCCTCCGTAGAAATGTAAGTGTCCATTTGTTTACGAGCTTTTGATAGAATAGCAGAGAGGGAGATGCGTTGGTGCGGCTGTTACCGAGTTAAGGAGAACGAGGGTAAAGGCAGGGTAGTGCTGGTTTGTGAGCGCTGACCATTCATTTTGTTACGAATGTTGCCTTTGTTGACGTGTTCGTGCAATTGCGTCACCTGTTACAGGACACCAAAACGCAGTCACTCTTAGTTGTTTTGCCGCGTTGCGTTGGAAGCAAAGGCTCGAATAGTGAAAGAATTCATTGTCGTCACTACAGCATGACAGTACACAACAACGAGGAGTGAACTCCCTTCTCTGCCGTTGCTCCCGAAATGACACAGACAATAGATAAAACTATAACAGCAACCAACGCAGCGATATTACATTAAGAGCGGGGGAGGACAGGGTAGCTGGGTGTCTATGCTAAAAAAGCTGGTGTGCGTCGATATGTATTTGTCCGGGTCAAAGGTAAAGACAAAAAAAAAAAAACTACAACAACAATATTTTCTAAAGTACAACCAAAAACTTTTCTCGCATTCTCTCTGTCACTGTCTTTTGTTTTCACCCCTCCTGTGTTTTTATCTATCCGACACACACACGCACACACACAGAGCTACTATTATTTAGACACCAGTTCTGTTCGTTTGGACAGTCTCACTCAAGCTCTATTTATAACTTTAAACACAACCAGAGCACAGATAAGGCAATAATGTCATTGCTGTCAGACGTGTGTCTGCAGTGCACAGGAGGATTAACACACATTCTGACTCACACAGACACACACACACACCTTGTTAAATGATGGTTTCCCGCACTTGTGATCGATGGAGGACCAGGAATGCTTGTATAAATAGTTACATTGCCGATAGACACGGGGTATTGATTGCAGTGTAAATGAAAATCTTTATCAGATTAGAGACTGTTCTCAGCTGCTGGCAGGCAGGCAGGCAGGCAAGCTCTGGCCCCTGAGAGCTCTCTGGCAGGACAGCGGACAGCTGCAGTGGGCAAGGGTCTGTGGCCTGTGACATAAACACAGTACATTAAAGCACTATCAGGCTGGCGATATGAGCCATATATCACAAATTTGCAGTGGGGAGGAATTGGGGGGGTGCGCTGCAAAATGGAAGGAGGAGAAAAGGGGGAGGGAGCGGAAGAGAAAGTGGGGGGATGGTTGAAAGAGAAGGTAAAAGGGGTACATTAAGGTCTTTCGTTGATTAAAAAGGTCAATAATGAGATTGTGTGATAAAGCATATGAGAGGAGTAAGATCTGGCATCCATCTGTCCACCCATGACAAGTGCAGGCAAAAATCTGATTAATATTCTTAAGAAAGCGCCTGTTATTCTGTATTTATGCATGTGACGGCCCAGGTCGCTGTTGAATCTGTTTGGTTTTTTAAATTGTTATAATCCAGATTTAAATTATGTAAATGAGAATATTTATATGAGAATATCTACCCCAATAAACAAACCTTAAAAAGGCTTAAATTGCCAACATATTTGTTATACTTTTTTTTTAAGTTTGAGATATAATTATGTTAAAGAAATATTGTTTTTTATTGTCTATGTGTCATTAAATGGCTTACAAAATAAAATGTCTTTATGAATATAAAGCAAGACACAGACTGAAACACTGGCTTTGGAAAACATTCTCTCATCGGCTTTTATCTAAGTGTGTCAGTTTAGTGGAAGCCCTTTAGCTGAAAAGGATTCAGTTCCTTATTTAATCTGATCCCCTGAGTAATATTATAGACCTCCTGCGTAGCCTTTACCCACATTCTTCAACCTAGTTTAGTGTTTGAGCTATTGATTTTCACATTAAGAACAAACACAAACCCTGAGTAACCAGCCTCCATATTGCATGCTGTGAAGGCTGTATTGAACACATGCTATCCAGGGACTCTAATCAATGGCCTCGACTCTTATACAATATTATTTACATGACTTGTGTATTTTCTCTTTTTTTCCCCCCCGTACTATTTTCCAAATCATTTTCTCTGCTCTGTATTTCAATGTCTTTCTCTCTCTGTACCACAGGTGGGGCCGTAATGTCGTGCAGCTTTAGCCTCTGCTATGGACCGTGGTGAGGGAGGAGGAGAGGAAAGAGGGGGAGGAGAAGAAAGAGATGCTGACCCCAGTACCATGGCTTTAACTCGTCCACTCCTGACCCCGGCTGCCATTCCTGAACAGGGTTCATCCTCTCGTACCTCTGACATGGCCCCTGCCAAAGAACCACTGACCCTGCCTCAGCAGCAGGAGGAGGGCGTAGAGGGGTCCAAGGCTCCAAGAGAGAGAGAGCGCTGTTTACAGGAGAATAGTTTGTGTCACAAACAGGTGAAGAGAAAATGCCTCAGCGACGGATGTTTGTCAGTTGAGAGAAAGGAAGAGGGGGTAAATGTAGGTAGAAAAGAGGCAACAGATACGGGGGACTTCTCAGCAGCCCTCGGCGGCAAAAATGAAGAGGAAGACAAGGAAGAGGAGGTAGCCATCTTAAACCAAAGCCAAACCAAATCGAAATTTTCTTTATTACCTCAGCAGAGCCAGTACAGCTCTTCTTCCAGCATTGCAAAGGAGAGTGGCACACTTCACAGCAAAACATCCACCACTACAAAGCCCTCCCCCACGACTTCCACCTCTCCAAAGCACTTCGACAGTCCATCTTCCTTTTCTGCCCTGTCAAGCATCACTGAGGTAAAAGACATTAAGGGAGATCTAGGCTGGATTTCTGGATTTCCTCAGAGCTTTAAATCCCAGCAGTCTACTGTGGCTTTTCCACATGCAGATACAGAACCTGCCAGCAAACCCGCTGAGGATGATGGGCTGGCAGGGGTTTCTTATACTTCCAATTTCAGTGTATGTGGTGCCAAAGCTCCAGAACCAAATGTCAGCAAAGTAGACACAGAAATGGAGGAGGAAGGAGACAGGGACGAAGAACAAAATAAGGCGATTCTTAAAAACCTCAACCAAGACCTCTCTCCGAATTCAATGACTAGTCACATGACCATAATGCACTCGCGCAATTCCTGCAAAACGTTGAAATGTCCCAAGTGCAACTGGCACTATAAGTCTCAGCATACGTTGCAAGTGCACATGAAGGAAAAGCACCCAGAAACTGGAGGCCAGTGTGTGTGCGGTGCCTCAAGGGGCAAGTGTGTGTGTGGCGGCGCAACGCACGGCGTGTGCGCATACTGCAGCTCGGGGAAGCCCCATCCTCGTTTGGCCCGGGGTGAAACCTACGTCTGTGGCTACAAGCCGTATCGCTGTGAGGTGTGTGACTATGCTACCTCATCTAAAGGGAATCTCAGCATTCACATGCAGTCGGACAAACACCTTAATAACGTCCAAAATGGGGGCCACTCGAATGGCAACGTATACACACCTCAAGTTACGAACAGCAGCAGCTCCTTCGGCGGTCACACAAACGAAGAACCAACGTACAAGATCCCTCCGTCTAATCCTCCTCCACACACTCCTCAGTCCACCAAGCTCACACCACCTGCACACTCCAGCTCTAATGGTAAGCGATGGCGCTGTGATGTGTGTGACTATGAAACCAGCATTGCCCGCAACCTGCGCATACACACTACCAGCGAGAAACATACGCATAATCTGCTACGGCTCCAGAGAGGCTACTATTTATCTCACAGTAAGAGCCTCCAGTCACAGTTGGAACAACTACAGAGCAAAGGTGAGTCGTGCACCTCACACCAGACCAGTGTACATTTTGAAAAAAAACATTCCTACAGTTCCTACAGGGTTTGTGTCAATCTGTTGCAGGCGCCGAGCTTTCCCTGAATGTGCGACTGACCGGTCAGCAGGTCGCAGAGCGGCCAGTCACTGTTGGCTCTGCGCTGACACCGTCTCCCTCCCCCTCTCCCTCTCCTCCACCAGCGCCGTCAGTGTCCCCAAAAGCAACACTTACTCAGGGCATGTTCCAATGCCTGGTCTGCGCCTTCTTCTCATCAAGCAGCTTGAAAATGATGGAACAGCATTTGGCCACACCACGCTCCTTACCGCAGTCCGAGTGGTGCTCCCTGGTTGCAGGTGGCTGTCACTGCAGGTTGTGTGGTTACACCACCACGCTAAGGGCCAACTTTTCTTTGCATTGCCAGACTGACAGACATCGCACACGTTACCAGCTGATCGCCCACCTCAAGGAAGGTGGAGACCGAGGTCAGGAGGGTGCTGCCATTATTGCTAAGGGAAACCCTGTCCAGCTAAGGTGCAACCTGTGTGATTATGTAACCAGCAGTCTTGAGAAGCTACAAGGACACTCCCTGAGTTCCCAGCACAAAGCCAGTGCACGGGTCTACAGAGTCAGTATTTGGAAAGTAATTATTGTTTTAAAACTGTTGCATGAGCAACGTTATTGAATTGTCTACGTTCTTCCTCATCTCCTCAGTTCTTGCAGCAGTACGACGGCGATTTTGATGGAGATTCGTGGCTGTTTCACTGTCTTCTGTGCAACCACTCCTGCTCATCAAAACTCCAAGTGCTGAAACACAGTCAAACTGCAACCCATCAGCAAAGGGAAGAGCTTTTACAGTTGCAGCCAAAGGACGGGGAGGAGCTAGAAGCCATTTTTACCATCAAGAAAGCCCCTGATGCAGGAAGAGGTGAGCAGGCTGGCTTTCTGTGTGACTGTGCTGCCTGATGTAAGGGCAGTTGACAGGGGTTAAGGTGAAAAGAGTGAGAAATTGAGTAATGGTTGCTACTAAGATATTGATTGAGTAAATTGATTAGTCAATACGCATTCTTGTTATATCCCCAATCACCCCTGACAACAGCTAAATAGAAACTGCTAATCAATGAACGGCCGCAAATCTGTGAACAACAATATGCGGGAGGTAGAGGTCAATCACTGGCAGGTTAAAAAGAGAACTCTGATGTGACATTGCCTGTATTATCCGAACTGATGTGGACCAAATAACTGAACTGATCAGCTAAGTAGTTCAGCACTTGAGCTGTAAATTGAGTCTAGCGTGCTATTTGCCTGCGTGTGGATTAAGACTTATTGAGGCGAACTAATGTGTGCTAACTCCATATTTCCTTTACTCAACCCTTAAGGAGAATCAAATGGAGAATCAATACTTAATAAATAGTGAATGGAGGGAAAAAAGAAGCAGTCTAAGTCGAAAAAACATTGGTCTTTTAGAAGGACGCCATCTAGAGCAGAGACTGCGCTTAGATTGATAGGGAGCGTTGTACACGAATCACTGTTTGCATAACAGACGTATCTGTCGTTTTCTTTCTCCTCCCAGGAGAAGTTGGCTTAGATAACAGCATTTCCAGTAAGACCAGTTTTGGTCTTTTGGAAACAACCAAAGACACAATGAACGTGAGAGAGAAGCAGATTTCTGAAAAGAAAGGTAAGGTTTGATTTGTTACACATGCGCACATACCGTACTGGATACACACACAAACAATTATATAATATTTATAGCTGAGTCAGATCATCATTGTCATTTTTAAGCTGCAGTTTGGTTGAACACACACACCAGTTTACAAAGCCACAGCTGTGTGGTTTCGAAGAACAAGGTTTTTAAGAAGGAAAGAGAACTTTTTTTTTAAATTCAGTATATATTAATTCAGAACACCTTACCATTGGACCATGTTATCATTACAGATGCAAACCTGTGTACACAAACCTACTTCTTGCTATGCCTTTGCCTTTGGAGTGTGTCGCAGGCATCCGTTTGTATTTGTTTGTCTTACAAACAGATTTCATTGTGACAATGAGCACGCTAAAGACAGTTACTTTGTTTTTTTTGCGCAGTAGGACACAGTTAATAATCTAAGCGGACCAGCTCTGTTGAATTAAGAATTTGAGAGTTATTATGAAACCTCAAGGATATACAAATATGAAGATTATTACAACTTGTCCTTAAAATCAGTGATATACCATTTTGCCTAAAGACCAAAATACAGTTATTGCGTTTCAGGCCATTCTGTCAAGGTTAAATTCTTTTAAGAAAAAATCAAGTTTTTGGTTTATGTCTTTTCAGCGGAACTATGTGTTGAACTAATTTGACTACAACACAGTGTCTGTTAAAAACTTGAAATCTAGATTTATTGTGTTTATCCTTCTGTGTTGGAGCATTTTATTATTAATTATAGTGCTGTACAAATATTTTATACAGGAATAAAAATGTGCTTTAATTTTAAGATGCTTCCAGAAAAGTCCAATTTAGTTATTTACAATTTACCAATGTAATATATATAATATCTAATGGCTTCTTTTCTCCTTAAGTTGAACATTTGGTGTTAGATGTCGGATCAGAAGGGCTATGGTTGTTGTTTTTTTTATGTTCGTTCATGACATTTTGACCAATTTCCAACTGATGCTGATTAGATTGAGCCATCCCTGAATGTAATGTGGACAAAGTATAAAATATAAAAACAATCAAAACAATCAAAAAACAATCATCAACCGCTTATCCGGGGCCGGGTCGCGGGGGCAGCTGTCTGAGCAGGGACACCCAGACTTCCCTCTCCTTCGACACTTCCTCCAGCTCTTCTGGGGGGACCCCGAGGCGCTCCCAGGCTAGCCGAGCGACATAGTCGCTCCAGCGTGGTCTCCTCCAAGAGGGACGGCGCCCGAGCACCTCCCGAGGGAGGCGTCCGGGGGGCCTGCGATGTAAATGCCCAAGCCACCTCAGCTGACTCCTCTCGATGTGGAG